ATGCATGCATCCATACATGCATGCATCGGTCGGTACTAAAAATGATTTAGGTGTTTCTCACCCGGGCTAGGGCCATTCGGGGTCAGACCTTCCTTCTCCTTGGTCTCCTTTTCAATCGATTTTCTGGGCGGGCTGATAGCACACCCGAACGCGAGTAGGACTTCAGGGGTTTCTTAGAAGCGCAAAGCCCAGAGCTGAGGGAGGCGCAGGTCTGACTTGAAAATGTAGGGGATGTATTGGGCGTTGAGATCTGGATGGCAGTTTGACAGACTCGGGTGGACCTCGGGAAATCTTCCGTTCTACGCACACGCGGCAAGCGCCAAATAGAGGCAGGCAGCATCGGCCCGGCATCGGCACCCGGAGGGGGTCGCACCTTTAGCTGCCAACTGTCTGACAAAGTAGTAAGGGCCGTGACAATTAGAGTAAGGGGAAGAATATTGGTGGTGAGTATTCAGTCTTCTATATTACGTGACGGAGGTTAGGGTCCACTGTCTAGGCAATGAAATGCCTTGCATAGTTGAAGCAACTTGTCAGAACCACCCGAGTTCCCGAATCTGCAACGGGTATGTAACCAGAAAGATTCGGGGGGGAAAGGGGCCTCTAGAACTTGGATTCCAGGAAAGATTGGTCGTGAGATCCTTATATGGCCAAAGCCCTATACTACAAAGCTAGTAAAGCCTTTCACCACCGCTATACAGCCTTTGTACAAACCTTATGTGGTTCTGTTCTTGTTCAACTTCAAAGGCCAACCCCGAGCAAGGATCCTTGTATTAAGGCCTGGAGTGAAAGATTCGATCTTTTTTCAAGACGGCCGCAGCCGTTCAGACCTTCCAGGGTAGTGTCACGGTTTAGGATCCAGGGCCATCACACAGCGTGATTCGAAAGCTTCCCGCACTATCATCCAATCTGTCCTCCACAAGGCTTTCACCTACCTGGACGACCTGAGCCGTACTCAGCAAGAGCTCTACGTGCACTGACACAAAGCCAGACTCTATAATACTCGAAACCTCTACAACTCCAGATCCTGCAAGCACCCCCATGAATAGTTCGTACTGTAGCAGTACCCCTCCTTATAGCCATGCCCTATATCATTACACTGCCATATTCCCGAAAACATATCCTGCCTATGCTAGTTATTGACGCGTAATATGGCTCCAATCAGTTTTTGGCACATTTAGGCACTCCCCTTGCCACTGCCCTTTCCATCTCCTTGGCCCCCGCACAGAGACTGCTCTAAGGTCACGAGGCCTCTTCACGAGTTGCGGAGACAGCGTGGCTTATTGCAGGGCTCAGGGACTTCAAAGGATCAAAGGAGGCTTCAGTGTGTACAAGTTGCCACCGGATTCTGTAGGGCATGCTAGTTTTGTGAGATTCCGGGCAGAGGACCCCAAGGAGCCTAGTGTCGCTTGGGAGCCTTTAAAGCCACCATCCGCAAAATCATTCACGCATTCGCTGACGGGATTTAAAGGACTGTCAAAAATTTGATCATTTGGGGCATTTCGCAGCCAATGTACCGAATTGGGCGTCCCCGCAGGGCGTGGCCACAGTGGGACTGTGAAAAAAACCGAACTTGGTCGAGAATGTCCACCGACCCGCAGCCGGAGCCACGGAACCGGTCGTTCCTTACTCTGAATGCAAGAAGCCCGCGTAGCGTGGCCTTAACAGTTAGAACAGGGTGGACTACAAGGGGTATCATTGGCAATTATTCCGACCCCTATATATCAATGTGCTCCAGCACTGCGCTGTTTCGGAAAAACCCAAAGGGGTTCGATCATGCTGGCCTCGGGAAAAACAGCATTTAGTTAGGGTTGCAAGGCGCTTTTTTGTTGTTGGGGGGGGGGCTATGGTGTTTAAGATGAATTTCACTCAAGACTTAAAAATCTTCTGTTGGATCCGCACTGCAATTTCATTAAGGTCTTTGGGGTTTCCATGGTTCGTCCAATCGCAGAGTGGCCTAGATTGGTGGCGGAGAGGGGTCAGGATCTGGCAAAGTATCGATTGGGAGTGCGAAGCAGTGAGACATTCACTCTAACCCCTCCCAAACCCAATGACAAACCTAGCGTTTGATCTATGCGTTTTCCTGCTTCGGCAAAACCCCACAACAATCTACAACAAACCTGTTATTTATACGGTAACACCTTCATAAGAACCCTGGCTTACCGTCAAGAGCTGAGCCTTATGATTTGAAGACTTCCCGTGTTAACCCGAAAGGCCTTCAACTGCAGAGTTAACGCCCTGCTTACCAATCCCAACTCTCAGACACTCTCGAGGCCTCAGTGAGGTCTTGCTCAGGAGGTCCCCGCGTGTGATACTCATTGAGCCTGTGAAAGATGGGCTTTGGAGGGTTGTTGATACCGGGTGAGAAGAAAAGGTGATTCAAAAGAACAACTTTTGGTGTGCTCTGATGGGCTTGAGGTTTCATGCTGTCTCCGCAATCGTGAGGCACGGCTCTCTCCTGCCGCCGTCTTCTCCCCTCCTTCCCTCCCCCCTCCCCTCCCCTCTCTTCCCATCCTTGACCGCTACCTCAAGCCAGTAGGCCGCACACATGTCAGTTTTGAAGCCAAACCGTATATCAGGCCATGTGCCAGCTCATACGAGATGCTCGCCACAGCCCTCGCATGTATCCGTTACAAGGCCGGTCTGACTTAAGTGCTTCTACCTGCTGCGCAGGGATAAAGTCTCACAACATACCTTACAAAAAAACTTGAATGGTAGGCTGATTGCTATAAGCGCCCCTCCCATTCACAAATTGTTGTCCTCATTCTGTTTTAAAACCCCCAAAACCCGGTACACCCTGTGTAAGACGTCCCTGGATGCCAAGTTAAGAAGCCGGGAGCACGGACTTTGCCAGCTGCAGTGACCTGGCGACGGCGTAAACTTGTGAAGGGCATCGAGCCGAGTTTCAAGCAGACGGAGATAGACAGGGATCCCCAAGAATCGAGTCAACATAAACTGCATAAATCCACCCCTCATTGGGATAGGACCTCCAACAGCTTATGCTTGGTTAGCTGGTCTGAGTAGCTCATAACAACATACCCTTAAAGTCCATGTCGCCAAATTTATGTCACAATCCCAGCCCCAAAGAACTATTGCGGGCTTTATAGTCTCAATACTGTCTTGGGGTATGTTATAGTTATGGTATAGTCTTATTATTTATAGGAACTAGAGGAGAAGATTTCACTACTTGCACATGTTTCCGACCCCTCGACTCAATCCCTTGCAAAGCTATAAGCTCGTTCTGTATGTTAAGTCCGTAAACCGTGAGTAACCCCTGCATCCTTCTCTTTCTGTATTCTAGTCTCTGTGGCTCTCACGACTCACATGCAGACGCACTTACTTGGTGGCACCTCGGTGACGGCGTAAGCAAAGTCCGCCGGCCGGGATAAGAAACGTGATACCTCGCAGCAGTAGTGGGCATCTTTTTGCCTAATATCCCACGAACTATCGCAATCTAAACGGCGCTTCCAGGGTGACTAGTGGCAGTCACTGGACTCTGGACTGTGGCACTGACGGTTGCTGCTCATCTAATGGAATGCACGAGAAAGCCCACAGAAAACCATAGGAAAACTCATAAACGCTGAACCACTAAAAGCAAGTATTGAATAAGCGGGCGCCCTTACACAAAGAATGGCCGGTACCTCCTCTGTCTCGGTGGAGACAAACTCGGCCGAGGGATCCTCAGAAAACCACGGAGAGAAGCCACCGAAAGTCGTGGGGAATCTATTCTGGGATTCTTTTGTTTTTGATACGTGAGTGCTTAAGGCTCTCTTCCGGCATTGAGCAGGGGCTTCAAAGCTGTCAATTGTTGAAGCTGTTACATGCTTTGTCTGAAGTGGGGGCTCAGCGTTTCAGACAAATTGCCTCAGGGTTTCGGGCTGCAGGGCTCCAAAAAACCACCTGTAACACCTGACAAGAAACAGAACCCCCGCAGGAATACAAGAACCCCTTATGTCATCGTAGACTCCCAAAATCTCCCGAACGTGTAAGAGCACTTAGTAGTCGAAGCCCTATTCCAAGAGCACCCGTGAGGCTCTCTCGACCCCACGAGGTCACAAAATCCAACACACGTGCACCACACTGTGCAGGGAGCACTTTTTCCGATGTTCGGGAATTCGCGAAATTGTGAAACCCCTTTCTCGTCAGAGAGGTGGGGTTCCAGAGCACTCGAGGGAGCCCCGAGAAGGTCGTAGTGCGGCCCCTCAACGACTTTAGCGACTTGAGTCTTGGATGGTTGTCGGGAGCATTTCCACCCAAAATCACACCAGGGTACGCACGGGACGGTGGGGACTGGATGTATCACGGGTGGGATTCTTTCTACCTCCTACCAAACCCTATGAACTCGTGTACAAACTCTTGTAACCCTATGGAACTGAACCAACTTAAAAACCTTCAGCGAAAGGTCTCCACCCTCCCATATAACCCCTTACAGAAGTCTATGCAAACCCTGAGAAACCCTGCAAAACAAACACCATGAAACCCTAGACCCTAAGACCCTGAAACCCCGATGAACAACAGAGAACCCAGAGCTTAGCCCAGGAATATACCTTAAATCAGAATCTTAAGGCCCCTATAACTTAACGATACTTAACGTATATATTCCTTATTTGAAAGGGGTAAGTTGGGCTCTCTGGGCTCAGAAGCCCTTTGCAGCTTAAGCCTCTGACCTCCCAGAGTCGAGTGGGCCCAGGGCCCTCCGGGAAGGTGCGGTCGGCCTCCTTTTGGAGGGCTTGGGGATTTTAGCGTTTAGGGTTTTGCTTTTTTGGAAGCTAGGGGTAAAGTATACTATTGTTGAAGGGCTTAAGTTAAAGGTTAAGGGCTCAGGGTGCTTGTTTTGGGCGGTTTGGAGCTCTCAGGTTTCTTGAACTGAACAAACTATTGGTCTGGGCACTTTCTGACTTTTACTTGAGGGTTCCATTGTTGCAAGATCTTTACTGAAGGTTTTATACAGGCATTTGCAGGGCTTCATGTCATAGACTTTTTATATGGTGCTTGAGATGGCGTGTAGGGCCCTTTTCTTTGGAGTTCTTCTGACTTAGGGCTTGAGTCTCAAGGCTCGACTGCACCGGGTTTGGAGGATTTAGGGTTTCTACTCATGAACTCCAAGTTTACTGTGTGCTACGCATCCTGAAGAGCACAGCAAATATTACAGGATACGACGCCGGCAGCAGCAAGCTCGTGCTGGAATAACATTGGTAATTTTTTGGACCCCTATATTAATCTGCCTTTGACAAAGCTCAGGTCTCCTGCACGTCGACAGAGCACCCCGTGTCGTCACACCTGGCTCTGAAAGGAGCCCAAGAGATCCGCAGCAGAATTCTACGTCATCTCATCGGTCATGCTATGTTTTGTTTGGGGCTTCCTAGGATGCTTGTAGTATAAAGCCCCCAGAACCTTAGTCTACGTATGGAGGCCGCCACCCCATGCAAGTGCCTGAAAGCAGCTTGAGTTTAAGGGGCGTCTAATTGGCTGGTGGAGCCCTAGTGTTGCTAGCAGAAGTACAAGTTGCGCCCAGAAAATACTGCTTCTCGAACACCAGCTAAGAGCTCCGCTCCAATAGCTTACACACGGATCATGGCGATGTTGATTGGTCTGAATGATACAATAGCTGTCATTGCGGGGGGGGGGCGTAGGCGAGCCTGCGCCCCTGCCGACAGGTGCTTGTGCTGCTGCTGCTACCACGGCCGCCTAAAACGGCAACGTGATATTGAATCACTGCCGGTGGCAATGACAATGACGATGTGGTTTTGACGGCGACAAAAACTGAATCCCCTCAGGATATCCACAGCATGTGTCTTAGAACTTCCCAAAAGCTAGAACCCCAAACCCTGGAGGAGCCTTATGCCACTGAAGATTAAGCTACTAAAGCTTGAACACCCCGTGCCTTAAGCCTAAACACCTCAACTTCCCAACCTCTAATACCCTGATCAGGAAGACCCCCCCCTTTGAACCCCTGAACCCCCCAGCCGCTTATATGGCGACTCCCCCAGTGCGGGGCGGACCCGGCATTGGCCCAGGTGCTGAGATCGCTGTCCTCAAGAAAAGCAAGGCTTGTAAAGGAGTTTAGGTGTTGGGTTACAGATCCTTATAAGGGTTTAAGTTGATGCAGGGAGGAATGACGATTTAGACAGCCCTGGCATCTGAAGGTTTGGAAATAACCCATCGGGAATAAGAAAACATAATACATCGGGAATGAGCAGACATACAACTAAACCACCACTACTGCTGCTTTTGTGTTTTTGCTATTGTCATTTTGATCATACTGTTTGCTTTACGGTTCTTTGCATCATTCTGCGCACATGTGCGGCAATCTTGTGCTTGTCACTCTTCCGCTCGAGTATGCTTCCGAGGTGACCGTTCGCGCACGAACAAGCTGTGTCGGACGGTAGGCATCAAAAGTTCAAGTTCACGGGTGGAGATCAGCTTCGCAACGAAGACTTGCATGTACCATTGTGGCATAGATGAACTTCTTCCGAAATCGGAACAGAATTTCAGTTAATGATACCTAACGACCTAGATCACCAAGCGCTGAATCCATAATCAAACACGTACCTCCAAAGTCCTAAATCCCAGACCCCAAACTTCCTGAACCCTCAACTCCCAAAGCCCTAACCCCCAAACCTAAATCCTAAATGCCAAGTCCAACCTCCTCGGATTTCTAGCTCTTCGCAACCTCGGAGTTCCTTGTCAACCCCGAGCTTTCGCACCGAAGATAAGGGGCCTTCCTCTCACCCATCCTAACAAGCCAAGACTAAACACGTGCAGGCGCGCCGACATTGCTTTGCAAGATGCAGGGACAAGCCATCTAACAGATCTCTGCCAACAGGCTACCCTTCTCCCCACACTTGCCTGTTGGACAATACCCAACTGCACAGGCGCGCCTACTATCCCCAAATTTCTCGAGCGACTGAGCAGCCACACGAAGACCGATGTACTAGCACTGTACAAGGATGTCAGGAGGACACGCACGTGCTAGCTACGAGCAGAACTTGGCCGCTCCAAAAACCTATTCCATGGGCGCAAGAGGTCGCCCAGAGCAATTTGGACCCGGTTCCCGTCGTGGAACTTCTCGCTCATCGAAGCTGGCCACACTGGCTTGTCAGGGTGATTCATCCTGCTCAGCAGATCGGCTTCCTCGTTCCTGTCACCTGCCACGTGCGACAGGTCCAAGGACGCCTGCAGCTCCAAGGCCGCGAAAGCCAACGTCATAAGAGCGAAGGACATCGGCGCAGCCGTTGGAGGCCCTTACTGCAAGCCGCCACCACAGGCAAATTGTCGCCGTATTGCCGAAGGCGCAAGGAATGCATGCCGACCTGTCCTTCTACCTTTGCGCGAGCCAACATCAGGCCCAACTGAGCCAGCATTTCAAGGGCGCAAATTGCCGGTTGCATCCGCTCTGGCCACTCCTACGCATCTGGCATTTTTTCATTCATTCAAGCGCACTAG